CACAAGAACGTCGAATCTGAATCACTTGAAAAAAACACGGGGGTGCTTAACTTTTTTCCAGGTGTATATATCAGTCATGTGGCGTATTTAGTCACTTGTTTACTTATTCGTTTATGCATCCTCACTTGGAAGTTTATATTTGAAAGACTTCCATTCATGGTAATGATTACTCTGCATTGTTGGCATAGTATATGGACTTAGGACTAACTTAAACTTAGTCCTAGACGAACTTCGCGAGATATTACGTCCTAAAATATACTTAATAGGAAAGATACCCAACTGATGAAAACATCTGTTCTAATCATTGTAGATAATATAGTTTGAACATATTTAACTAGCTATACATATTAGTAATTATATAATTTTAGTTCTGATATTAGACAGGTTGCTATGAACAAAACTAATGTTAATTAGTTTATTAGTCCTAGCTTATAAAGGAAGACATTGTTACCTTTTTATAAATATTACTTTTTTCGTCTAGTATTGTTTCAGTGGCTTTTAATTTAAGCACTAAAGAAATGTTTTTTTAATAGCCTGGTTTCGCGTAAATCATTGTGTAGGATATACTTAGGGATTAGCCTGAAGGTTTTATATGAAAATGTCTAATGTTTATTATTACTTAGTTCGTAGAAACTGTTTCTGTCAAATAACTTATTTTTACCCGAAAACAAATCTACTTTATTGTTTAAAATGAAAACCAGTCAATAGTAGAAGCTGAAAATGCTTGCACTCGTAATGTCTTGGAAGTTTCCTTGCTTTGTTATGCTCGAAAACCAAGTTTAGAAAATTGTATTAATTTTGTTCAGTATGAGTGCGCTATTAATTAGGTTGTGTTTTAAAGATTGAATTTTTATTACTAGTTGGATATTAGAAGACTGTGCTTGTGTTTTTCTAGGGGAAGTTAGCCACTTTGAATATATCGACCAAATGCAGCTGTTTGATTGAAACACTTCGAAATTAAGCGGCCTGAAGTTAAGTTTATATTTGTAACATTGGCATTCGAGTGTCCCTCCAAATGTCAAACACAACTGACATTCGCGGTGAAAAAGTGTAACGTTTTAGGGTCTTTAATAGTCGAATTTCGTGATTTTCAAAGTTACTCCTTTAGAGATACAATATGTATCCAGTACATATATTCGTCTCTTCAACATGCAGGTTAGTCTCTCAGGTTAGTAGAAATTGGTGGCATTCGCAGAAGAAAAACGTAACTTTGTTATGGAAGTTAAAAGTCCAATTGCATCACTTTGAATACTCTCTACCTATTTTTAGTTTCTGCAAATATTATAAAAAATATCTGAAGGGTGATATTCGTATGCAAAAATATTTTGTCACACTCACAAAAAAAACGTGACTTTGTAGAGGGTTTTGAACATTTGAAATTTTCTTAACGCTCGTCAACTGTCTTAAAGTGCCATATCTAAATGTCATAAAAAGGGCCATATTATTTACTTATATCGTCAAATGAACGCACTGGGCTGTTCCCCCCCCCCCCTAATAATGTAATAAATATGTTTTTTTTATACATAGAAAACAGCCCAAGGTTTCACAAGCTTTTGAGAAAATGTGAAACTCTTATGCTTATATGCACCTGAAAAGCATTTGGAATTATAAGAAGCTATCCCCATTTTTTTCGAAAAGTAAAAACAAGAGGGAATCCTCAATAACCTCGGTACTTGAAATTCTTTTAGGCAGAATTAGAGTAAATTAATCTATGAGACTTTGGTTTTTAAACCCATTTTATTAGCTACATTGTTGTGCGCCAGCAATACCAAGCGTGGGGCGCGCGTATACTCGATTCGATTTTATTACTCATCAGAATTTCTACCAGCCTACCCTCAAATTGAAATTATTTTAGGCAAGATTAGAGTAAATTAATCTATGAGACTTTGGGCGTGATCAAATACATCAATAGAAAGGGTTTGACCTTCTAAGTCCAAAACTGTAATTATATCTCGAATCGGTCAAGAGATGAAGGAGCTATGAGCTAAATCTTTGAACTTGGGGGGAAAAAAAACCTTGGAACCGATCTGTGAGCCGCTATGCCGCGGCTGAAAATCGCCTATCATTCATCAGGTACCAGTATTTTACATTTAAATTCCAAAATTTTTCTCGAACTGAATGTTTCAAAATATATACCCGCTTTTGTGGCAAATGTTAATTTTATGATATTTTTTATGGCGCCTTCAAAATGATTAAATTCGACTATAAAACCCTTTAACAAAGTTACTTCTTTTCTTGTTTTTTTTTCTTCTGTGAATATCAGTGTAGAGAAGAGTTATAATGTTTGAAAATCACCAGTTTGTACTATTCATATAGATTTTGCATACTAATGTCACTTTTTCTGATTCAAACGGATAGATATTCGCATGCGAATTTTCCATTTATTATGGTTTTTATAGCCCCATAGAAATAACTGAAGAGCAGCTGGAAAATGATGAAATTTGACTATGTAAGCCCCTAGAATGCTACACTTTTCATTGAAATCTCGTTAATGTTTTACTATATAGAGTAACATTTGCATGGAAATGTCATGAATATCAAATATCGGTTTAACTTTCGGCCGCTTCAAAACCAAACATAGCAAGCAACAACTGTATTTTGTAGATGAAGATGTAGCACGTGCTAATTAAATGGTAGTGAAATACTAAGTAACTCGGACGTTCAGGGGTAATGGTGAAAGTTAGCTGTATTATGAGGAAAATATGCAATATTAGCTCTACCACAGTGTGCATTGTAAATAAATAAATGTATATAAAACATATTGGTTATTTATTAACTTGCCTAAATATCTTATCTCCCGAGATTTTGCAAAAACTTCTGCTTTATTTGTAGTATAAAGTGAAGACGAGGTTAAATAATATTGTTACAAGATTTCTAAAGCAGCGTTTTTGTGGTGCATATAACTTGTAACAATGTGAATTTCTTCGTGAAATCGAAAAACAAACCACGTGTCCTAATGTTGTGTGCAGTAAACGTGCTTTTCTTGTCTGTTATTTGGTCATACGGGATGACTTTATAGATTTAAGGCCTACGTTACTTGATAGTAATTGAAAGATGTTTCTGTTTAAGTATTAGAATAATTATTTGAAAATTAACCCATGCGACGTTCGTCTCGCCAGATGTCTAGACGAGATCGGGAAGACTGAAATCAAATCAATACAAAAAACGAAACTTTCTCCAGTATATTATTTGTGTGCAGCCACCTGTTTTACATAAATCATGTTTCATTTGATTCGGTTAACAGTTACACGTAGCGGTTGCATCCACGTAACTTGAAAGGTATCTGTTGAAACGGTAAATTCTTGCGGGTTTGCACACACACACACAAAAAAGTTTTCAAATGGATATTTTCTAGATCATATAGAGTGAAGGGGAGACCGTGTAAAAGGAAATAACAAGATCCCATTCCACCATGGGTTGTTTGAATAATCTTGTGTGATTCAACTAGTAACTGTTATTTTGCAAACCTTATCATGTGAATTAATATTAATTGGTTCATACTGTGCAGATTGTATTGTATACATCAATACTTATTTTGAAAATATTTTGTGTACGTTTTAAAAGATAGAACAACTGCAAATAGAGTGTGGTGTATACAGAAAGTTTTTAAAATAGTTTTATTATAATTTTCAAAAGAAAATTGCATGTAAAAGTGTGTCAACAATTTTTAAACAAATGTGTTTGTCTGCACACAATTTTAGTTATTTTTTTTTTAACTTGAGAAATTTTCAGGTGTATTGAATTTAAATTTAAACTACATTTTAATATGTTATTTGATCATACTACTAATTCATCATGTTTCTACCCAAAGATAAATGATTGTTTTGTTACAACATTGAAACTACTTGATACTGTTTTGCCACAAATAAGAAAAATAAGTCCTGATCTGTATTATTAATCACTATAGGTGTTTATGACTCCTTGATTACCTTTCTAAAGTAAAGATAACAAGAGGAAAGGCTATAACTTATAACAAATTACCTTAATTATATCATAACATCTAGCTGTTATCTTGAGCTTCACTAAAGGAAGGCTAAGCTATATATTGCAGATGGTGCTTTTTGGCAATCACTTGTTATTGCTTTGTAAATTTACATGCATGGAGAAAAAAAAAGCTTTTTGAGAGCAATTATAACTTGACATAGAAGATGTCTGGTTGGCCATGGCTTATGAGTTAGTTAGCATGCCTAGGCTGTTAATTTGAAGGTTTATGATACTCATCCCATTGCCTTGCAAACAAACTCTGCATTTTGAGTGCATCATGAAAGTGATAATTAAATCTCATTTTTCAGTCGGACAAGAGTAGCCTGAGAGTTGGCTGTGAGTGTTGTTGAAGGGTTATTTTCCCTCTAGTCTATCACTTCAGTACTAGGGATGGCTAGTGCAGATATGCCTTGTTTAGCTTTTCACAAAAATAATAAAATGAACAGAAGATGTCAAGAAAATGATATTGGTTAGATAGGTTTTATTTCTTGATTATTTCAAATTGTAAGATGGAAAGCTGTTAGGTTTTCATATGAATTGTAAGTTTAGGTCTCCTTCCTCATATCTTATGGAATATTTCTTGTTATAATACATGCAAATTGTGCACTGAAAATGTAAACAGATAACTGTGTAGCGAACAAGTTAGTTTTGAACTAGAACTTTTATGCATTCAAAGAGTGTAATTATTTTTTGTAGACATGCTTTAATAGAGTAAAACAAGTGAAATAATGTATTAATGTACTTACCATGAATATATGTGTAGATCACATAGCTGAACAAATCTACACAGGTGATGACTACTCTATATCTAATTTTTGTGTATTTTTTTATAGACCTGAACACCAGTTGTCAACATCAGAACCATTATACGAAGAAGAGGATGAAGAAGAAATCTTAGGGTCAGATGATGATGAACAAGAAGATCCTAAAGATTATTGTAAAGGTCTGAATATTATAGTTAATTACAAGCATAATCTGTAAAACTACAGTAGTTTAATTATGCATAGGAATTGCTAGCTGTTTCTAGGCTAGTACATAAACAACAATATTGCATAGAATGTGTTAGTTCAGATTTGTTAATCTATAAAAGCTTGATCACGTGGTTAGAGCTGAGTGATTAACTCAATTAATTGATATAATCAATAACCTATGAATATCAATTACATTGATTAGTATCGCATTAAAAAATTTATTAATTAATGTCAGGCTCATTAATTTATTACATTCAATTAATTTATTGTACTCCCATGGAGACTTGGATAGTAGAACAAATCCAAAATAGCAATGTTTGGAAACACTAATTTTGATTAATTGACTGTTTTTGTGAGTCGTGACACTAATCAACTGAACTGAACAACCTTGAATTAATCAAAAATAATAATGAAAAACCCTAATGGCAATATTTTGATATTTTGGATAGTTGAAATAATCAAAACCATAATAATCAGAATACGATTTTGATTAGTGTCATGACATTAATCTGTTTAATCATAATTTGAATTATTCAATTATTTTACATGACACTAATCAATATAAATGATCTCCATAGGTAATCACCCAGCTCTATAAATCACATAGCTTAAGATATTCCAATGCTACATGTTACACTACCAATCACTTTACGATACTAATCAAGTCAGTCTTTTGTATGTGGTATTAACACATTATTTAAGATAAATTATGTTTTCCATCACATAACTTATTAATTCAAAATATATTCAACAAGATTAGTAAAAAAATTTTAATTTAAAAAGGGAGGAATAGGGACCATCAAAAAAGTACAGAAACAAGTTGAATCAAAATGCAAAGATTATATTTTTAAGCCTACAACTAGAGACTCTAAAAAAAATGTATACAAACAAGGTTGGAAATAATGTCTTCATTATTTTCTCAAGCTACAAGTCCTTATTTTGGCTCCACAAAAATGGATAAGTACTGTAGACATAGAATCAAAATTGGGGTTTGTAGCTTGAGAAAATAATGTGGATACTATTTGTAGCCTAGTTAATTTACTTCGTTTTGAGACTAGTTGCAGGCTTCAAAGTATAATCTTTGTATTTTGATTAAACTTGTTTCTTTACTTTTTTGATGATCCCTAGTCCCCTTTTTAAATTAACCATTTTTACTAATCTTCTTTAAGTTTTTTATGTCCATTTATGAAGAACAAATTTTAAGCTATATACGTGCATATGCATTCAGTTGAATTTTACATCTTTTTCAGCAGTTTACTGCTGCGCTGGCTTTTTTGTTTTACACCCAACTACCAAACTGAACCTACTGAAAATAAATAACAAATGTACAACAAAGAATAAACACATATACTGGTATGCAACTACAACAAATAAAAAGTAAAGTTGTTCTCAAAGGATCATCTTAAAGGCAAAGATTGTATCATCACAGATTTAATAACTGGCTTTCATCAGAGTCACAGTGTAATGTAACAAAAAATGAACAGCAACAAAGCAATCTCATCAGAATGGAATAGTGTTTCTTCTAAGATGATACAACACAGATTAATGCAATGTAAACAAATGCAGTAACATGCTTACCTTGTTAGGTCTACATGACACATATATGTTTTTCAACAGTCTGCTGTACACAAGTGTTTGTTAGAATAAGGCGACACAAATAATGCATGCCAAAATGGACAACAGTGACACAGCGTAAGTTGTCAATAATCAGTAACACTTATCTCCACTACCTTAACACTAACTATATAAAAATAGCAATAGCTATATGAAATAGTGCTATATGCAGTGGTAATAAATACCGAATATCACTCTCGACTTCAGCTAACTATAAGAAACAGTAGAAAGAATCACCACCATCATCTGAGTAGGAAAATCTACCATGGTAGTCATCCAGTGTTAAAAACTTGCTGAAATATAGTCATGGAAATCCATGGAGACAGCAAACCCGAGTAGGGATATGCAACAGCAAAATCGGGACCCTTTCAGCTTTCACACGGTGGTTTCTAATGAATGCTCTAGAACAAATGGGCAAATTTAGATTTTGTCTACAATCATGAAATCTCTTATTTTGCTTATTTTGTCAATGTTTAGGTGGTCTTAACTATTCAAAAGGAAGGTTTTGAGTGTTGTTTCAAGAATAAGTCTGTTTTTAAGGTGTTTTTATCCAAATGTTTTTTTATTAAAGTTTTAAGTTCATGATAAAATTAATAATTTCTTAGTTTCATTCATCTTGATGTTGCTCATGGTTGCACTTTGAGAGTTTGATGTACATGTAAGTAAATTGTACTTTTTATATCCTTTCCTGTGGTTCATTTATCACTATTATTTGAAATCTACACAATTATTCAGCCGTCTTTTAATTTATTTTTGTTCATCAGAAGTTTACTTTAAACATGATAGTTTGTATTTAATAAAGTTACTGAAATTCATAAAAGTACAATAATTCTGGAATTGTATTTTCATTTCAAACTGTATACAGCTGTTTTGGCTTTATAGAAAGTCATCTTGTGTACCAGTTGCTAATAACTAAACAGCTTAACTCATTTCTTGTTACGTTGTCATTGCAGCATAACTCATTCCTTAGTAGGTTGTTGTTACTGAAAGTTTAAAGTAAATAGATCTGTTTTTCTTTCTACCTAATGACAAAATGTCTTTGTTTCATGTGATCCGGGCATTAAATTTGTTCCTATTTGATTAACCAATTGGATGATTTATTTTAATATGCGAAATGGTTTGCCTCTGGTGATATTTTGATCTTTAGATAAAGGAGTTAAAGTAACTCTTAAAGTTAACTGAAATTACCAGTAACACAGGACTGTGATGGTTTTATTATATTTAAATGTTTACGTTTTATAGTAATTCCTGTATGCTGAATCCGAAAATGATATCCAT